TGGTTCAAGTGCCTTACCAGCAGTTTGCCAGCATAGTACCCGTCTGTCATCAGAGGTCAGACCAAAGCGACACTCATCAGAAAAAATATATAGGACCAATTGTCATGAACTGTCCAGTTCCAGATCCTGTTGACCCTAGTTTACTCTACGTTGCCCGTTTTGTAACGATATAAGAGGTTTCAGTCTTGCTACCCTGCTGTACACTCTCTGAGCATGTAACCGACGCCTAGCAATTTTCACAGACACATTCTTGTGTGTGAAATTGTTCCACTGTGTTGTCAACTGACAAGCAGTGTCGAACTTTGACAACCTGGACGTCAAAATCAGTCGTCGGTCTTCACGGCCAGTATTTTTTCTTGGACGACCCATCAGAGGCAATTTGTCTCTTGATCCAGTGTTTCTATACCGAGACCAGACCCTCTGCACGGTTCTGACTGAACAATTCAATTGTATCAATATTCTGACATTGCTTATATTCCGCCTCTTCAGGTTAATAACTTGCACCTATAACTGTTATATAATTACCTGTATCTTGTATCTTGTACCTGTATAATTTAACTTAATATATGATACATGGTATTGAGATACATGTACATGTATGTAATCTCTCTCTCTCTCTCTCTCTCTCTCTCTCTCTCTCTCTCTCTCTCATAAATGCGTTAAAGAAATACACAAGCATAACATACCGCACCGTACTCAGTAGGTAAGACAGGTGTCATAAGTAACGACTAACGACTGACTTTTTCATTCGTTTTTTTCTGTCTTGCAAATTGTCAAAGCCTCCGCTCAGATTTTTATTTTCAATCCTCGTTCTTCCCATAGCCTTTATCCTGCCGACTTCCCAAGCCGTGTTCGACTGTTCCGGAAAGAGGGACTACTTCTACAAGGACGATTTCAACTGTTTCACATACTACGAGTGTCGCTTCGGGCAGCTGGTGGGGACGTACTCCTGCTCACTGGGGTACTTCTTCTCTCAGGATAATGTGGGTTGCATCTCGGCTACCAGGCTAATAAAGGACGGGTCGTGTACCCTTTACGGTGGGTGTATATAGACAGTCTTCCTGTGAGCTTGAGTTTGACCTTTTAACTTCTTTTTACCATGAACTGAAATTTTCCGTCCCTTACATCTCTAAAACTGGCAGAGAGAATCTGAATGGAACTCAAAAATTGACAATCTTCCTGCAAACTTGAATTTGACCTTTGACCTACTTTTCACCATTACGCCGCACTTTACAAGCACTTATATTTACTATTGAACTTGGATGGGAAGTCTTATATTCACAATCTTACTGCAACCTTGGATTTGACCTTTTACTTTTCGCCACGATCAGGCCTACCCAACTACCAGATCTGACACACACCTTGAAAACGGGTAGTGTGGTCCGATATACCGGTTAATTCAGGATCCTTAGGTGCCGAGTCTGGTAGTTGGTTAGGCCTGACGATTATGTTATAAATTGTAATTTTCTACAAAAAAATTAGAACTCTTGTTCACTGCATTTTGTACAGCTTGTCAACTGTTTATATAAAAGGTTTAAAAGTTTGGAGAAACACACGATCTTATACAATCTTATGCAATTAACTATAAATTTATACCGTACCTATTCACCCATACCAGACCTGCGTATAGATTCACCGCACCTTGTTTACAGGATACCGTGCTGGCATGGCGCCCGAAGGACCTTTCATCTGTCCGAGAGCTGGCATGTTTGCTTTAGCCAAGAACTGCTCCCTGTACATCTTCTGTAGCCGCCCGGACGTGGAGGGGAACACTCTGCAGTGCCCGAATCAGTTCTTTTTCAACCAGACCATGGGATCTTGTCGCTGGCGAGGCCACTTCAAAGACTGCCTTGAAGATGGGACTCGGATCACGCCAACACCACCTCCAAGTTAGTGAACAGAACTGGTTAAATTTCCATACATTTCCTGTTTATATATTTACAAACGTTGTACTAATATATATATATATATATATATATACATGTATATATCTAATATATATATATATATATATCCCGTTATCTGCATTATCATTCACCTGAATAGTGAAACTGTCGTCTCTGATGATTTTTTGCAGTCCAGTCGTGTTAAGTTTCTCGTTAAAACATATTGCAAACACAAAGAAACGATATGATAAAGTCATGTACATGAAATGCTGATGTTTTACCCACTGAAAAGATAGATTCATTGCTATATTATAGTGTCGATGATTATTCTTGAAAATAACTCGCAAAGTTTAAAACTCTTAAGAGTAAACTAATTGACAACCTAACTTACTAACAAATAAACAAACAAACGAGGAGATGTGGATTTTTTCGCAAGTAATAAGCAATCTATTGGTATTGAACATTACGGGATAATGCAATCTTTTAGATGTCACACACTGTTATTTTTACGCTAATAAAAGCACATTTCATTCTTCGTACAGCAACCACGCCGAGGCCTACACAGTGGAATCCCTGGCGAAGAACAACAAAAAGAATCACAACCACGCGTGCTCCGACCACCACAGGAAAACCTTGCTTTAAAGAAGGCTTAAAGACTGTGGACATTGAAGACTGCAGCGGCTTCTATATCTGTAACAATTTGGTCTGGGTTCGATACCAATGCCCGCCATTGTTGATGTATAACAATAAGACCGGCGTCTGCCAGTGGGATGTGAAGGTGGACACCTGCGACAAAGGGAAGTTTATATGGACAACAACAACAACAACAACTGTGTCAACGACCACAACTCAAGGTAATAGAACAACTGGGGAGGGTCTCCGCACTGAATCTTCCGTAGAAACAACTCTTCTTATCACGATGGCGGGCCTGTTATTAATAGAAAGAACCGTTCTTATTCACTAAAACGTTAAATCAGTCAACTATCATGCCAGTTTGAATGAAAGACTTGTTGAACAAATGAAACTTGCTTTTACGGCACCTCTTTTCAATTAATTTTAAGTTTGGCCACAAAAACATGATCAAATGCTATCGACGATAATTTATACCCTGCCAACAATATTTCACCTATACTAGACCTACGAATTATGCCACTGCACCTATTTTACAGGATACCGTGCTGGCATGGCACCCGAAGGACCTTTCATCTGTCCGCGAGCTGGCGTCTTTGCTGTTGCCAAGAACTGCTCCCTGTACAACTTATGTTACCGCGCGGACGTGGAGGGGAAAACTCTGCAGTGCCCGGAACAGTTCTTTTTCAATGAGACCGCGCAATCTTGTCGCTGGCCAGGCCACTTCAAAGACTGCCTTAGAGATGGGACTCGGATCACAGCAAAACAACCTCCAAGTTAGTAAATTAAACCGACTGATTTTTAAAAATACATTTTCTTATTAAAATTTTTACACACATTGTACTAAAATACATATACCTTGTTACCTGCATTATAGTTTATCTGACTGTTGAATTGTTTAATGATCGTATATGATGATTTTCGTGCAGTCCAACCGTGTTAAGTTTCACGTTATGAAGGTTATCCTTATTACCTCCGCCAAGGAGGTTATGTTTTCACCCCTGTTTGTCTGTCTGTCTGTCTGTCTGTGTCTGTCTATCTGTCATCAACATAACTAAAAAAGTTATGGACCGATTTTGATGAAATTTTCAGGAACAGTCAGAAGTGGGCCAAGGAACAGAATTACAAATGATTAGTTTTTGGTGGTGATCCGGATCAATTATCAATCAATAATAAAAAAAACTAAGTTCTAGACCGATTTTGATGAAATTTTCAGGAACTGTCAGAAGTGGGCCAAGGAACAGATGATTAGTTTTTGTGGTGATCTGGATCAATAATCAATCAATAATCAATACTAACTNATATAAATGGAACAAGAAAAACTATATAACCTGCAGCGAACTGTTTATGTCTCAGTTACAAGAAGATCAACTTTACAACCTCCAGACCTGCTTGGCTGTGGTGCAGGTAATAACCTGTGACAGTACCACATACCAAATTTGGTTTCATTTGCCAACTTAAGATGTTCTAAATATAATACATTTTATCAAAAAAATTTTTCCAATAATAAAAAATGAGAGTATTCATTGACATTTTCCTATAAAATCAATAACTAAAATCTGAGACTAACTCAATGTTATCCAGATGTGCATCAGCCCACCACATCTTCCTGGTGACATAGTCTATGGTCAAAGAATTAGGCCAGTCCAGTTTTTCCATGATCAGAGATGACCAGTTTATGACGTCCATTCTCACACCAGCAATGTAAGAGATATGACCCCAGTCTGTCCAGTAAAATATATCTGGAATAAAATGCCTAGCATATCATACATATTTTAAATTACTAATATAAATCAGTAAATTAGCAATGTCAAACATGAGTATGCAGTCACTGACTTTATATTGGGCCATTAAAAATTTATTATTATTAT